CATGTTAGTTTTAGTTCCTGTAGTTTTGGTTCCGTTTGATCCCATTTATCCCTTACTTGGTACCATGAAAATTTCAAATCAATATGCAGGGACTTGATGTTTTACCTTATGATTTTAGTTCACTTTGCATCTGTGGTTATGGCCCCTTTCTCAATCCTAATCTTGTCGATTTTCGCTTTTTGCCTTATTCGTAGAGGTTTTACCTGTTTCATCAACAGTTTATAAAAATCAGTTCCGGGGTTTAATGATCATTCCTATAGGTTTGGTGCTTAGTTTTTAACGTATCAGTTTGTAATTTGATCTAGTAATCAGTTGCTTACTTTTCTCCCACCCTTTTTTCCCAGCTGCTTGAGTTGAATGTTTAGTTCATTTATATTCTTACTTGTTCAATTATAAAAGAATTTAAAACCACGCAGTTCCCTCTTCGTCCAGTTTTGGCCTCGTCACGTAGTTTAACATAGTGTTCTCATCATTTTTGGTTTGTAAATAGTCCATAATCTTGGCTTTTTTTTTTCCCCTCCCTTTTACCTAAGCACTGTTGGAATGTTCGAATTTTTCCAAGGAATTGGATTTTTAAGTTCTCATTGTTAGTCTTCTAATTCTTTAATTCAACAAACATTCACACAGTGTTTCCTCCGTGTCAGGAGCCAGACCAGATGCAGGGAATGGTAGAGTGAATACAGCCAGCACGGGAGGCTGCCTTCGTGGGGGGCACCATTAGCTGAGCAACACACAAACGTACCTGCACCGTTAGTTACAATCTTAATAAATACTAGGGGAGAACACCCCAGGGTTCCCAAAGACTTCTAAACTCTACTACAGGTGCAGTTGCCTGTTGTAGTTGTGAACTTTCCCTCAATTCTATTTCTTTACCTCTTTTTCTGAATATGAATGCTTTTAGTATTTGTTTGACTCAGGAAGGCAAAAATTTATTTTCTTATACGTGTTTCTGAAGGTTTCTTCCTGAGGCTTCTCATAAGCTCTAAAATCTAAAGGACCTTTAATTCATATGAGGTTTTCAGTTTATGGCTCTACCTGTAATAAAAGTTTAAAATGTGTATAAATAAATGCTGTTGTTTTGAATAAACCAGCCCCATATTAAAAAAAAAAACTTAAAGGAATATTTTAGCATAATACATGCACATTAATTTTAAAAATCACTAAGTGCTGAAAGGCTTAAGGAAACAATGAACACGCATCACCCTCTCTCTCGATAACCCCATTCATTCCCCAGAAGCGACCACTGACAGTTAATTAGCAGGTTCTTCTGGTAGTTTCTGCCACATCCCCACCAATGTGCTTTTGCTACAGTTTCTTGATCCATTCACTTTAGACAGTGTTTGGTGACCTCTCTGCATGGTAGATGTTGGTTTAGTTTCTCTGAACCACCTTCCCTCATTCTTCAAACACACTCATGTTGCTGTGGTTAAATCACTTTCGTTAACTGAATATTTGTTGTTTTAATTATTAGAATGTGTAAATGTGGGTCTTTGTAGTCAAGTAGTAAGCTATTAATAACATGCCCTTTCTAGAATTGTTTTTGTTTCTCTGGAATTTCTAATTTTCTTTCTTTAAAAAAAAATTATCACACACACACACACACACACACACACACACACACATTTGACCCTTGAACAACACGGATTTGAACTGTGCAGGTCTTCTTCTATGCAGATTTTTAAAAATTGACCCACGCAGTTCAGTTGACCTGCGAAGTTCAAACCTGCATTGTTCAAAGGTCAGCTGTATATATATGTTTTA